CACTCTTATATAGTAGGGACGTTATAACCACCTGTTGATCTATTGGCGTGGAATCTGGTGACACGTTTGATAGATCTTGGATCGAGATCACATGCATTCTTTACTAGGATAGCGCACCTACTCTACATGTGACGTGGTGGATTATTTTGCTCTATAGGCCATAATTACTGGGCCTTTCGGCCGGCCCAGAACAATGGGGTTTTGGCCTCTTTCCTCTTTCACGCTATTTCCATATTTTCTATATTTTATGAGTACAAACTTCTTCTTAGATTTTCCAAGTTCATCTCCATCTTCCATCCTTCATCATCCTAACTGCAGGTAGTGAAATTTTCCATTCCCTTTTTAATAATGACTATTATTAGACATTTATAAGAGAATGGTAATGTAGTTCAACCCTCTACTAATATGGGAGATATATAGATGTGGAGTATTGTATGAAAAATTCTAGGCGGTCCAACGAGAAAATTGATTAATTTTTTTTCAAAGTAAGGATTTATGGAAGTAGTAAAAGTAGTTCTAATTATAGTAGTGGCAATGACCCTTTCCCCCTATTATTTCTTAGGAAAGTTAGGACCATTGATGAGGTCTAGATCATTAAAACACTTGGGAGTTGACGACTACAAGACTTTCTACACCACCCAAGAAAAAAATGGATTCATATCAAAGTAACATAAACCTACCAGGCACGGGTGATATGGTAGATGTAGTCTTGGAGCCCCGTTTTGAAGAAGAACGAGTTAAAACGGTCTCCCCTGCTTGCACATCAAACTATTTCTTCTGCTTACACCTCCTTATCATCCAAGAATTTTGGATGGCCGGTTTCATTTACCTTCTTCGAGTTTAAGGTCCTTACGAACATGAACATTGCCCCTTCTCAGATATCACTCAACAAGTGGGATTTCATTAAGGAGTTAGAGATTATATGTGGTTGTTTAGAGGTAATTCCTACCATATGCATTTTATTTTCCTTTTACAACACTGAGATGGCATCAAGAGGACGCTGAGTGGCCTTGGGCCTCTTGTTGAGGAAGATCTTCTTAACCCCTTACTCGAATAACTTCAAAAAACTAGAAAAACCAATTTGCGAGAGTGAGGGGGAGAGATAGAATTTTCATGGTAATATTCATGGAAGGTGGAGACTATCACTTTCATGTGTAGTGGATCAAAACCTTGTATCAGTAAACATCTTCAACCATGATTATCTTACTGGTATATAGAGGGACTTTGTTGAGGTCTTGGAAGATGTGTCATCATGAATTCCAGAGAAATGGCGAAACTTGGATGTTGCGATGATTGGGAAAAGAGAATTGAGGACCACTTGAGTAAAGTTGGTTTCATTTATGCATTTTATGATAAGGTTATTTCTTGTATCTAACATTAGTTAATTTTTATTTTTGTAGAGAGGATGGCTCAAATGTATATCTCTAATTGGAAATCTCGACATGCAAAGAAGAATGGTAGGAGAGGCGAAAGTTGGTCCGGTGACCATAAGACTCACTCACACGTGTGTAATAAGCCAAATTCGATATATCCTCCTGACAATCTTTTTCAGTTTTGTTTATAAAATTAGAGTAACCTTATTTGAATATGGAATACTAGAAATCCCTAAATATTTTTGAACTAGGTCAGGCCAGTAGTGTAGGAGGCAACCCGATCAAAACTGACACTTGTTGTTTGTAGATCTCGACCTCATCGCATCTCATTCTAGGAGCCTATAATTCCTAGCAAGCGGCCTATCAACTTGAAGCTCTTCAATATATGGACTAAGTTCCAACTATCCCATATCGACGGGCTTTGATGAGCCCGAAACATCTTCCACCATGACCTAGTAAGTTGAATCTTAAACTTCCTCCTAGGCCGAACTAGGTATAACCTGGCTAACCAAGATAGTAGAGGCACCAGTTTCCAATACCCTTCTAGTGGTCGAAATATTGGTAACATCGCCCGAAGGAGGGGTATCCCGAAAAGCCCCCCTCATTTACTGCATTGTCTTCTCACATTAGATCTTATCTACATGGAAATAACATATAGGTTACAAAAGAAATCATCAAAGAGTTTTTATAAAAAAAAGATCCTCTAGTTTTCTTAGAAAAAATATCCTTCATGACCTCTTTCAAGTCGACTTCCACCATCAGACGTGTATTTATGAGCAACTTCAATTGTTTCATCGTCATTGCATTAGGAGAGGTAGCACCTCTGACGTAATCTAGAGCCTTATTTAAAGACACCAACTACCTTTTCAGGAAGATGTTTTCTTAAGTCAAATTGTCCATCTTGTAAACATAGGATCCTGATTCTGCCAAGAAGTGGATTTATAACCAGAACTTGAAGAATATGTCCAAACATTGGTAAGGCGGCCCATAGTTTATTAAGCATATTCTAGAATAATCTTTTTCATGGAGAGGGGTAACTAGGAAAAATCGACCCTTGAAATGCTTCACATTTTTTTGAATAAACATCAAACATCTTGGCACACATCCAAAGATATATCAAGCCTTGACCCTTTGATGAAGTAGCCGAACTACAATGAGATTTGAAAAGGCGGAAGCGGATTATATAGGTTGGCACACTCCCCTTATATTCACATTAGTATTGGAAGACTTTAACGTAAGCCTAACTCATCAGTGCTATTGCGAGAGAGAGAGAGACTAACAAGTGATTAAGAACACCAACCTCAAATTTATTGAAAAGAAGGCGGAAGCCTATTAAGAAAAACAAACACTAATAAAGATGGATGACATGATTATCCTACTTATCACATATCCTCTTATCTTCCCCGGGAACAAGAACTCCCTAGTTAGATGGAGGCCCCACCTCGATAAAATCTTGATTCATGCCACCCTTAGATGTAAATATATAAGGGTTGACCAACGTCTCCTCATCTACCCATGTTGAAGAATTATTACCCTTGGCCTTGCAAATTATAGTAAGTGGATTTTCCATTATGAAGAACACTCTAAACACAAAAAAGACAAGTATGAAGAAACAAAACTCTAATAAAATGCTCAAATGATAGAAGTTTGAATATCAAAGAAATCAGAAACCTACTCTCCAAAAATTCTAATAGATAAGAAAGCAAAAACAAGAAGAAAGACCAAGACTTTACCTTGAAAGAACGATGTTGGTCATCTATGCACCTCAAATACCACCGAATGAGATATTACATATGAACCTGATCTGAAAATCAATAAAGAATAGCCCATAAGAAAGAGTGAGGTTGGTAATATGAAGAAGAAGAAGGATTTTATACAAATCGCAAATGAAAAAAAAAGGGAACATGATGCTTTAGGAACCATTTTATGTGGGCCTCAACCACTAGGAGCCGTACTATCCACTACATTGGGAAGTGTGAGACACACTACCAACGCTTAAGATTTCATCGAAGATAATTCCTTGTACTTGTGTACCCTAAGGAATATGAGGCATCATTTCTCACCAGCACAAGGACACACATGAGACACTGCTTGTGAAACGTTGTCTATTACACCCTCTGGTCACTATTATAAATAATTTTTTTAGTTCATTGAACAATTGATGTATCTGATATATAATACTGACCAGATATATTATTTATTCAATGAATTTAAAAAGTTTTTTGTTGCTTATAATAGTGATCGGAGGGTGTATAGGAAAAACATCTAATGTGTCTGTTTTTAATGATGGTGACATCCTAAAAAATAGGGACAAAGGATTGGGTGAAACTATTCAGGACTGCTCACAAGGCCCAAGGTTTCTCTGTTCTCATAGGAAAAGCGAAAGAAGCGAGCGCGAGGAACAAGTGTCCCTCCATTCTCATCTAATGCAGGTAAATCCACCTCTCAAGCATCACCATTAAGACCAATCAAACAATTTCCCCATTAAATATCACACTCCTTGCAAACAATTTTAACCGCTCTCACTATGTAAGAGAGAATGCACGTCATTCTCAAATATTCAAATCCTTATCTATCCACCCATTACTCATTATTTTTTCACTACCTTATTATTTCTAGTTATGAATAGAATTTTTTTTTTCTAAGTTGTAATTTATTGCATAAACTTATTGAAAAAGATTATTTTATATCTAATTTATTTTTCATGAGATTTATAAACTAATTCTTATTCATATACTACAATATTAGATATCACAAATACAAAGTATAAACAAGGTGACAACTTCTCTATCTATTTTTTAAGCTTTGTTTAGAAATTTGAAGGAGAAGAGAGTGAAGTACTTTGAAAAATAAAAAGATATAGATGAAAAGAATAAAAAAAATTTGGTTGAGAGAATTTTGGAAGGATTGTTTTTCTTCATGATAGTAAAAACTCTATAATTTAGAAAAATTTAAAAAATTTATAAAATTTAAAAAATTTATTGGAAGAGAACTTTAGAGGATTTTGGAGGACTTTAAAGGATTTAAATAATTTGTTCAGATATAATTTTTGTTGTTATAGTATTTCAAAAATTAAAACTGCATTAATAATAAATATTATTTTATCATTCTAAACAATATCTTTTTTTCAAAAAATATTTAAAAAAATTTCTTCAAAAATCTCCCTCTCCCTCGGAACTTCCAAACAAAACCTTAAAGTTAAATAATATACCTTTCAACTAATCACTTAATGTTATTTACCTTTATCATATTTAAATATTTACTAAATTATTTAAATTTGAAATGTGTAAATATAACTCTATCCACTTGAGAACAATTAACAACAACCTTTATCTCTAACATAACATGTTAATCTTCAAATATACATGCTGATTTGAGTTGGTTAATTGTTTCAATAAATTAAACAAAGTAGGGCAATCAACATATAGTCTATACATATGCTTCTACATTCTAAACACAAATTAGGAACAAGTGCAATGTTCCCTCGTGTTCCATATCAACTCTGTCATTGATATTAACACTTATATACATTAGCAAATAAAACTACACTTAATTATATGTTACAAATTACTCTACCGGATATCTATACCAGTATAGTGGTTAGCTCAGTTTTCAGCTTTAAGAGTCTTATTTTCCAACACAGTTTGCATCATCATTGTCAATGACATTGTAGTATAGAGAAGAAATTTTGCCATCAAATTTGGAAACTACTTGATGAGTTGACAGGCCGCAATAGCGCTTCCCAAGACGCGCAATGAAGATATCTACAATCTTCTTGAACATGGAATCTTCTTGTATTAGTGGTTGCTCTACAAACTCAACCAGTGGCATCCATTTTGCTGCTTCAATTTCATGATCATCCACAGTGATACTAGATGACAGTGGTCTTAGCATGCAGATGAAGAACAAATCTGATTTCTCAAAGGCCACATTGTGTACATGCCTATAATTTATCATAAAGTTCATCAGAATTAAAATCTATATTCTGTACCATACTAGATTCTAACTAGGTAATTAGGTCACGTGTCAGATATTAGACACGTGTTAGATATCTAAAATGTGTCAATGTCTAATGCTAACACGATACTGATACAAGTGATTATGATTATGTATTTGAGTTTCTTGATGACATCATTGGTGCTGTTACCTGAATGCTATGACTTCAATAAAATCTGTATCAATCTGCACAACATCAAAAGAAAATTTTCATTATAAGCAATTAAAACTCGTCTTTGCAACCTCATGGATAAGATAAAAAATCACAAGAAGAATAGTTACTCAAAGTTATACGAAACTTACCCCAGTTTCTTCTTTCACTTCTCTTACAGCTCCTGTATATATCTCCTCAGCCTGAGATAACTCACACAAGTGATTACGCATAAGTTATAGTTCGGAAATTTTAAGCTTTAATAGTAGAAAGTCTTGCATTCTGAGAGCTAGACACAATTGGCCGAACTGAACTGCGTGAACAAATATCAAGTTTTCTCTGTTTGCGCTTTTTAGGAAAATCAGTTACCTCATACATACCTCATGAATGAAACCAGTTGGTATTTTCCAAAGGCCAAGAGTTGCAGGAGAACAGTGTTTCTCTTGCACCACAAGTACCTTTACAAATTCATTACAAGAAATTATACAAACTTTAGACCTTGCATGAATCAAATGCAGAAAAGTTATAAACAGAAGAAAAAAAATCATACTTCATCGTTATCATTGATGACAAATCCTCCAATTCCGACTTGATGCGAAGCATTTGCTGGAAGCATGCAAGGTCCTTCAGGAATCCAGTAAGTTAACATCACATATCCCGGTTCTGCATGATGGTATTCAAACCCTTCCTGATATACATTCAACATCTATTAAGCTGTTTTTTTTTTTTAAACTTATTCCAAACAACTTATCTAGATATCATAAGCTGTTTTCTTAAATAAGCTGATCCAAACAGTCTTGGAATACATTTAGGAAGTTAAATTACCTTAACAGCAACCGGAACAAGATCAGATTTCTCTAAAGGCAATTTAAGCCAAATTCCTTTCTTTCCCTACAAAAACTCATAAGGTAAAACTTCCAATATATAGAAAATGCTTCTCAAAAAGAGATAATGATAATAATACACATGGATTGATGAATTTACCAGTTTTTTCCAGTGAGAAAGAGACAAACAAAGCATAGATGCAAAAGCATATGAATCTTGTGGTAACCTATTTGGATCAATGACAACCCCTCCATACTCATCATCAAAAGCACCAAGTAAAAGATTTCTATAATACAAACTTGGAGTTGAGCCATTAATTCCATCAACACTATGAGAACTTGTTGTTACTGCTGCAAAACAAGACTCATCTGAAGCACTATAAGTCTTGAGAAACAACCCTGAAATTCAAGATGAAAAAGACCAAACCACCCATGTCTTTAAAACTTCATACAAAAAAAAAAGAGTGAATGAGAATCTAATTGGGTTGTTAGTGTTACCTCTGTTGCAGTTGAATTCATTAGAGTATCTAACTCCAAATTTGTGTCTAGAATTGGAGAAGAAAGTAGAACAAGATTTTGCAATTTCAAATGTGGACATAGAATTGTAAGAGAAAGATTTCAGCTCCATCTTAATCACTCTTCAGAATCCAAATCTCACCAATTTACACAAACTGACACTGTCCAATGAGAATATAAAACATGAAAACATAGAATCTTCACTAAAATCAAGGAAACCAACCTTAGCATATATCGAAACTATATAAATATTAACTAAAGAAACATCATAGTACATGTGTTTTACATATAGTAAAATAATAGTATGATTTTGAGTTAAGAAAGTTTAGAATCTAAATAGATAGGCACAAGGAAATGAAATTATAGATGATAATGCTATGTGGATGACACGTAGGGACAATTATTATATAAAATCACGAGTAATGGCAAAGTTTGGCTTGTAGGAAATTATCTTTAAGCTTGTGGTTCATAATAGACGATTGGTGAACATGAGGAAATATCATCAAGAAGATACTAAAAGAAAAATGCCAAAGTGGAAACTTGTTCAATTATGGCATGTATGTGTATAAATAAAATGAAGAAAACGAGGGAAGTTATGTGTGCCAGCTAGTTAAATAATTAATAAATATTTGCACTAGAAAAAATCAATGAAATGGAGATATTATTATTTGCTCCTATTAAAAAATTTATTCAGTTTTTTCGGCAAGTGGAACAAAAATTTGGTGTATTAGTCAGATTGCGCCAATTTCTTTAATTTATGACTACTGTTTTTATGTATGTAGAAATGGTTAGTTTATTACAACTAGTTACCACTCACTTGAAAGGAGCCTTATCCAAAGGTGAGATGAGGGAACATGTTCACAAATCACAACAAGAAGGATATACCCTTCATCAAAAATTGTGAAATTTTTAGTGTGGAGTGCGTGGAGCCAATTATAAGGACAAATGCGATCAGCATTTGCACTTAGCAATTTTTTTCACATGTAGTATCTAATCTTGTATATAGGACAAATGCGATTAACATTTGCACTTAATTTTTTAAGGGTGAGAATTGAATGTCCACATTATGCTATGCAACTTCTAAGTATGATAAGTGATAGCAGGTCCAAACGAGTTACTAAAAAGTCTTATTGGATGAAAGGCTTTGTTCTAAAATAGTTTAGTTATTAGATGATTTCTTTTTCTACTCTAAGGTTTTCTAGCACATCACACAAAATTCTTTAAATGTCACTTAAAATCCGAAATATATTTTCAGTTCGTACCATGTTAGCCATAAAAGATATAAAAAAGTTGGATAAAAATCGAAAATATATATTCGGTTGCACCCCAAACATAATTGTGGCATAGGAATCTAAGTTACAGGAAATATATAAACCAAAAATGACCTTACGGTATAAACCAGAACTATATTTCTGGTTTTGGTTGCGACTTAAACGCGTCACTCCTCTTCCCCTCCCTCATTACAAAATTGTTTTCAAAACAACAAAAACATAACACACTCAAATACCCATTTCTCTCAAACATCATTGTTACAAAATCAAATCAAATTCGCAAAAAAACTCGTCACAAATTGTTAAGCATTAGTTAACTCAAGTGTCCAACCACATTCAATCAAGGAAAATCAACAATTGTACGTTGTTTTTGAGTTTTTTAAAGTTTATGTAATTTCTATTCAAATTAGTGTTTTAGGTTAGAAATTGAGATTTTGTTGTTTGTTTTCAATATTAGGCATCATTAGTTAACTGTTGGAAGTCTCATTTTGATGATCAATAAAATTTTGTTTGAGGTTGTATGTGCCTCTGCTTCACCATTGACGAAGCTTAAAATTGCAGGTCGAACTAGAAATGTATTTCTAGTTTTTATTTTGAACAAAATCGAAAATGCATGTCCGATTTTAGGCTGTTTCTATTTTCCCCGCCATTTTGAATAATGGTCCTTGGTGTAACGTTTCTTTCGTACTTCTACAGGAATAATGGCTAAGAGACCATCTAGATTGAGACACGACCAACTTGCACAACATGCTTTTGTGTGGAGAGAAAGGAGTCAGACATCCCAGGCTCCTCCCGCCTCTGCCTCAGGTGTTCCTATTTCTACTCCGACTTCATCATCCTCCCACAACAGGCGTGATGCTCCAATTCATATGTCCTTGCCTCTTCCTCCCGTAGACGCACTTCCTCATCGATGGTATTTGAGGTGGTAGATGCATCCAGTTTCCAGCCGACACCAGAGGTCACACAGCCGACACCTCAGGCCCAGCCATGGCCTTCATCCCAAGCACTTGAGGCGTCCCAGGCACCTGAGTTGGTACCCCAGACATCTCAGGCACCTAAGGCGGCACCTCAAGTGCTGCCTTAGAGTTTTAGAGGAGGACTGTCTGATTTATCTCTGTTGCCTCTGTACTCGGAACATGTTGCTAGATATATATGGGACGAAGAGGTATGAATTTTGAATTATTCCTTCTATTACATTTTTATTATGGATTTTTGTTGAACGAATTTTATCAATCATGAATGCAGGACCGTGAGCCGCTGAAGGTCATTAATCATGGGCGGAAGATCAGTAAATTGGAAGCCCCTCTTGAGCCATGGTTTGATGAGTTGTTGATGCTTAGAGGGTTGAAATATTTGACCAAGTGTGGTTATAATATCGTTAATCATGGTATCATTAACGCTTTTGTTGAGAGGTGGCACCGTGAGACATTGTCATTCCATATACCACATGGACGATATCACGTATGTGCTACATCTCTCGATTAGAGGGACATTCTTAGATCATGAAAGGATTGACAAAGATGAGGCGTTGGATATGTTGGTAGAGAAATTAGGAGTGACTCCTGAGAGTGCCATGGCTGAGTTGGACTTCACTCGTGGTGCCCATGTTAGATATAGTTATCTAAAGACGGTGTTCATGAATGAGATAAGGCGTATACGAGAGGCTAATGGTGATCTTGAGCAGGTTACATTACACCAGATGTTTCCTATGAGGGCATACCTTTTGTTTTTGGATGACATACATATTTTTGTTGACACTAGTGCCACTTACACAGATGTGATGTACCTGGGGTACTTTGATGATTTTGAGAAAATCCACCAGTAGAACTGAGGTGCTGCTTGTTTGGTGTACTTGTATACGAAGGTGTTTGAGGGACGTAAGTGGAAGATGAAGTAGATGACCGGGAACATCACACTCCTGACGGTAAAATTTCTTGGTTTTTATGGCATTTTGTTAATTATTGTTATTATGTTACTAATTAATAATTATTGTTATTTCAGGGTTGGATCCTAACGCACTTCCCCTGCATCTCAGGTTGGTCATTAGCTATGGATTATGCTGAAGTTACGCCGCGTGTCACTGCATACGACCCGCTCCGAGGGAACTAGGCGACATAGTTGTTCTAGGTGTATATTGATTGGCTGGTGTTTGAGGACATACACTTCCATTCATACCATGACCACCGTGTCATGATACCATTTGATGATATTGTGTTGTTTATAGGACGGTTGGCTTGCGGGTGGCGCAAGACGGTTTCTTATATGTCTGAGCGCGTCATGCGTCAGTTCGAGTACACCCAGTATATTCCCCGGGATCCTGTTGTATCTGCTCCTCCCCTGGTGAAACACATGGATATGGATGCTTTGTTTGATGATTATGAGAATCATCTTATTCCAGATGAGGCCTGGAGTACCATTACTCCCCACGATTGGAGCTACGTGGACGGTTATATCATATGGTTCTTCAAGGTGTCCCATTCATACCTGATACATAATGCTCTAGGAAATACTCCAAGGTCAGCTCATTAGGAGATTCTAGAGGAGGAGCAGGCACAAGCCGATCATGCCACAAATGTGTTACCTAGGTGTCATCATATCATGGACATTGCATAGGAGCATATTGGTGGTGGTTTGTTTTCTAATGGCTCTGATGTTAGAGGTGTTCTAGATGCCATCACGGTGGAGGCTCAGGGGGCTCTACAATACAGAAGACAGTGGAGGAATACCGGGAAGGGGAGGGGCCGAGTCAGAATCTTCCATAACCAATAGTCTTTTCTATTGTATATGTATATTGATTATTGTTTTTTATTGTATTATGATAATATTTTGGGTTACCCCCTATATTGACTACGATCACCTTTTGTATTGTTTACTGATATCTATTTATATATGTCTTTGTTCTATATATCTTTGTAGTATGTTTTGTTATATACGTCTTTGTATTCAATGCAAAAATAATGCACAAAAAGACCCACTGCCAGCATAAGTCTTTCTGGTACTGTCTGCAAAGAAACCAGATATGCATTTTCGATTCACTTCATAAATATATCTCCGGTATTTAGTCAATATTTAACAGAAAATGGTGCGCACCAGAAATATATATCCGATTTCCAAGATATTTTGATAAATACATAGAGTTTTTCTTTTAACTATAAAATGGAAAGAGAAATTTCCAATTATTATTATGTTGTTTTTAATTCCTTCAATTTGGGCTTGGCCCAATTAGTTGATCCAGCTGAACTTTATTTTTATTTAAATCCCTTTTAGTTCTGAAAGGAAGCACAAAATTAATTCAAAATTTTATCTTCTTCTTATTTTGTGTTTATTTTAATGATTAACCCTAGATTTGATAGCTTCTAAATCCATTTTATTAGTATGGTCATAAATTTTAAAATTTAGAGACATTGTTTTCAATATTGAATCATCACCTTATCTCATTTTGTCTATGTAATTTTGTAACTTAATTTTATACAAATTTATCTCATATTAAAATATAATAAAAACGTAATATTTACACAACATATAAACTTATATGTTATCATAAATACATAAAATTCAATTCAATTATAAAATAAAATATATATAAAATCATCATAGTAAATTTTCTCATATATTTGTAACAAATTATTTAAATTATTTCTCAATAACATATTAAAGCTCCACATTTAAAAAAAAAAACTAATTTCTACAAATCATTTAGAATATCATCCTTAAAGTTAATATCATTGTCCATCCAAAAAAAGTTTAAGTCATTAAAAAAAAATTAATTATTTTTTCAAAGTTCAATCCTTCTACATTTCACCTTCATCAATGTCTAAATCTCCAAGATTAACAAAATTTC